CCGCAATCAGCCAAACAGTGCAGGTGCCGAGAGCTGCAGAAGCCGCCGCTGACCGCAAAGAAAGGAGGCCGAGATCGTGCCTGTCGCAGCTCGGGAAGCGTAATCGAAGACCATAAATTTGCGATGAGAAAGGACTCCGAGAGGGGGGCGCGGTCTCGACCTGGGTCGAAAAAAAAAACACGAAGTACATAGGGTTGCGGTCCAAAAAAAGAGGATAAATACAGGGGGTCAGGCCTATTGGTAAATCGGCGGCACATGTGCACTACCGATTACGTATAACCTTCATGACACAATTTTGCTCTCCGGCTGTGCCGTACACTTTACACCGCAGTTCACCATTAGGGAAGCCACATCATATATGCCGCGATAACTTTTATGTTCCACAAGATTGGTCGTATGTAGGCGGGACGTCATTCTGGGGAGACCCTTTACCTTACGCAGGGTTTGTTTTGTCACAATAATGTGTTATGCAGGCTTGCACAATATATGTTCGTGGTTAAAAACGGCGCAAGAACACGAGACACAAACGAAGAAAAGGACCGCCACCCGTCCTTGTGTATTTGCACAGGAAAACAACAACAACAACATTCTTCGTTCTTCGTTTGTGTCTCGTGTTCCTGCGCTGTTCTTAACCATGAAATCTCACCAACTTGCCCAAATATCAGGGTTATTGCACAATTTATGTGTTTGTTTTCGTGTATAAAGGAAAAAAAGTATTCAGGAGCCGCTACCCAACCACGACGGGTAAGCTACGCCAAGCCCAAAGCTCGCCACCACCAGGCATATAAATGTGACAACTGCAAAGTTGTTTTCCGAGCAGCCGACGGCACCTACCGCTGTATACAAACATGTAATGCGTCAATAAAACTTTATTTATTACTATCACATTGCGTCATGCTCTCTCATTACAGTTTTCTTCGTCCATGCCAGAAACTGGACATAAGGCAATATTTAGCGCAAAGTGACGCATGCAGGAACGAGAAGGGAGAACAAAACACGTGCTGTATTTCCCTCTCCTCCTTGTGTCGCTTTGCGCCTCTCTTACAACAAGGCCGAATTTTTCCTCTTGAGAACTGGACCTTTGTCCACGCGGTTAGTAGCGCAACACTTCTGTTGCTACAGATAAACACGACGGTCATGGGTTCACATCCAAGCAACAATTAAATGTAGCGACGGGAAATGACAAGTCACCTTGATGCCCTGGTAAAAGATCAGATTTGCATATCATAAACGACCGATCACCGACAAGCCCACGATAGAGAGAACACCAATCACGTGAAAACGATGCATTAAATACACATACATTTTTGTACAGCTAGCGACAATGGGAAATTTATAGGGCGAGCATCGCGAAAAAGGGCTTGGAGATATTTCAGTCGCTACAAGAAAGCATGGCTTTGGGGCGTCCAGTTTTGTTTTTGTTAATCAACGCTCTCTAATAAACCAGCAGCTAGATTCCTTCGGCGAACCATCGGCTTTTTCGCGAGATCAGTTGATGCTACGTACGGCATGGCAATCTCAGTTCTTAGATTCAGATTTTAACTCCCCTTCCACTAAGCGAAAGCTCTTCAAGACTATGGTCGTAGGGCTACTTCAGATTAATGAAATGAAGGGACAGCTGGATGCGTATTCGTTAAAAAAATATTTGGGTGTGAAAACAAGACAGCACAAGTAGAAACCTATCTTGCATTTCGTCACTGTCTTTTACTTTCTTGTTCAGCTCTTGCTTGAGTGCGAAAGAACTGCAGTGGACGGCTACAATGTCCATCGCATTGAAGGGTAAGTATCTTGAAAACGTACCGAGGCCTATAACCCAAGTAACAAGTGTGTTGCGGTCTTTGAAGGTCACAACATACTAGTTACTTGGCTTTCTTGACTTTCAACGTTTTGCGAAATGACAACGATCGCCGCCGTCTATGTATACATTCGAAACAACAAGGGCTGATTTGTGAAATTTTATACGACATATCCTGGAAGTTAAGCGCAAACTTATAAAGACGGCACAAGAAGAAGGGGTACACATAGGCGCTAACATCCAGCAAATTACTTCACTAATTCAAGAAATTATTTTTTAATGATTAGGGGTATAGAAGTGCGTGATCCTGGTTAAGGTAAACAATTTCTTGATAGTTAGCGCCGGTGTGTGTGTGTGTGTGTGTGTGTGTGTGTGTGTGTGTGTGTGTGTGTGCGCGCGCGCGCGCGTGTGTGTGTGTGTGTGTGTGTGTGTGGTGTGTGTGTGTGTGTGTGTGTGTGTGTGTGTGTGTGTGTGTGTGTGTGTGTGTGTGTGTCCCTTCGTACAGTCTCCTTTTCATATGCGCTAAACTCTTAGCATATATAAAACAACAGTGCGTGCCCCAGCGCAGTGGTCTAGCGGCTAAGGTATTCGGATGCTGACCCGCAGGTCACGGGATCGAATCCCGGCTGCGGCGGCTACATTTCTGACGGAGGCACAAATGTTGTAGGCCCATGTGCTCAGATTTGGGTGCACGTTAAAGAACCCCAGGTGGTCTAAATTTCTGAAGCCCTCCACTACGGCGTCTCTCATAATCATATGGTGGTTTTGGACGTTAAACCCCACATATCTATCTATTCACAACAGTTCGCCTGTCCGCGTATCATGTGACGTGTGCTAGAGAGAAGGAAAGCAGACCAACCGTGGGTCTCACGAGATATCGTTCAACCATATGCATGCATTAAAGCGCGCCCCGCCGCGATGGTCTAGTGGCTAAGGTACTCGGCTGCTGACCCGCAGGTCACGGAATCGAATCCCGGCTGCGGCGGCTACATTTCTGATGGAGGCACAAACGTTGTAGGTCCGTGTGCTCAGATTCGTGTGCACGTTAAAGAACCCCAGGTGGTCTAAATTTCCGGAGCCCTCCACTACGGCGTCTCTCATAATCATATGGTGGTTTTGGGACGTTAAACCCCACATATCTATATATCTACAACAGTTTGCCTTTCCGCGTGTCATGTGACGTGTGCTAGAGGGACGGAAAGCAGACCAACCGTGGGTCTCACGAGATATCGTTCGGCAATATGCATGCATTAAAGCGCGCCAGCGACAGAAGAGCGCGGCGCTGCCGGGGCTAAAGCGTCGCTCCCGGCCGGCGACGTCGTGCAGCTGTACGCGGGAGGAGCGCGATGATCGAGCCCTCGTCGCCCGAAGTGGGACCGGTGTTTCGTGTGTGCAGGCCACGGTGTAAGAAGTAGTAGCTTAGGTGATTGAACGGCGCGCGCTGGGCGAGGGCCACTGCGGCACGCTTAGAGTTCTCCTTTCTCCGCTCGTCAAGAGAGGGCGCTAGAAACTTGTGCCCGCTCACTCGCTTCGCGCTCTCAGACAGCACTAGCCGTTTGCAGCTTTGTTCACGGCACGTTGTTGCTGCTCGCCGGGTGTTGTCAAAGCATTGTTCATTTGTCTGCCAGGTAGCTCCCAACCTTCGAACTTTTTCATGAGCCTGCATAATGGGAAAGTGCTTCGTACCGTTTTGTAACACCGGTTACAAGTCTTGCAAAGAAAAGTTCTCGCTTTTCAAGCCGCCGAACGATGAAGCAAGACTGGAAGCATGGAGACGAGCCATTCCTCGTAAGGACCGCGTGCTCCAAAGAACGGATCGCGTTTGTGAGAAGCATTTCGCTTCCCGTTTTATCCTGAAGACGTGGTCTGCGGGAATTGACGGCCATGTGCTGATGTCTGGAACAAGAAGAGCGGGCCTTTCAAAAGACGCTGTGCCGTCAATTTTCGAAGGGGCGCCAAGCTACCTGTCCAGAAAGATTAAAAGCCCTCGAAAGCAAGTGAAACGGCTAGCGCTTCCTGTGGCTGCTTCGGTGAGTAGCTGTAACAACAATAGCAGCAACTTGCCAACGACAGCTAGCCACATAGAAGTCTCCCCAGCGGACAATATGGAAACGTCGTCTGACGACAGCTGTTGTGTGACTAAGACTGGTGAGAGTAACTCATGTGACTCAGTGTTCGAACGGCTTTTCAGTGCAGTATCTTGCGTTAGCCTGCCACAGCCATCATGGGCGGCGCATCTCATCAACTTAGCTGGAGTGAGGGACGTCGTGTTTATTGACGCTGCGGTTGCGCATAGGACAAGCGACGGATCGTCGGTGCTGTTTAACAGGAAGGCTCTGCATGTCAAAAGCAACATGGAAGTCCAAGTCTACATCTTAGACAAGTTGATCGACTCTGCTGCAATAGGGGTAAGTCCCTTCGCCACATCTGCCCTTGAAGTTGAATCCATGCTCAAAGTTGTTGACGGCATAGATGTGTGTAGGGGAGGGCCTAGTTTAAAGGACTTCCCTGATGTGTCCCCTGAATGTGCCTTTGTGGACTGTCAAAAAAGCTGGAGACACAACAAATGTCTCTTGGTGACACCTGGAGGTGCTATCTGTCGCCTGTGTTCGGGCCTCGTTGACACCCTTAGAATACATGCTGATCGCCGAGCTGCGCGAGCCAAGCAGGGAATACCTCTCAAGCGTTTCAGGTTATCGGTGGTGCCCACCCAACAACAGAAGCTTTCTGCTTTGCGGCATGCACGATCAGCTGTTCAGCGGTCACGAGCACGACTGGCCAAGCGCAACAAGCTGTTATTGGAGCAGTTGCAAGCAGCGATGAAAGAGCTAACAGATTTGCAGGAGCAAGATATCAAGGAGAAGCTAAAGGGATTTGATATACCGCCAGCACAGCTTCTTTTGATAGAAGAATGTGTATCAGTCGCAAGGTGCGCATCAAAAACAAGCAGGCGATACACAGACGATTGGATCTTGTTGTGCCTCTTGCTGCACATACGGAGCCCGGCCACCTACTCTTTCTTGAGAAACAACGATATACTGCCTTTGCCGTGCGTTACCACAGTGCGAAAGTACATAAGCATGGTTGGTCCGAAGTGCGGTTTCGACGACAACTTCTTCAAAGCCCTCAAGATAAAAGTTGCCGGAAAGACCGCATTCCAGCGGCGGGGAATCCTGATCTTGGACGAATTCAAGTAAGAAAGGAAATGGCTGTCAACTCGCAGACAATGACGTACACTGGCCTTGTTGATCAAGGAGAGAAAAATAATCAGAGCAAGGAACTCGCAGATCATGGCCTCGTCTTTGCATTTGCTCCGTTTGGTGAAACCTACCTACAGCCAGTAGCCGTGTTTGCGTCAAAAGGACCAACTAAGGGGACGCTGCTTTCGCAACTCCTGATCCAGTGCATCGTGCACCTAGAAAAAGCCGGCTTGTTCGTAGACGGAGTAGTGTGTGATGGTGCATCCACCAATCGCGCGATGTGGAAGCAGCTCGGCATTACTGGTGCACTTGGCCACGTCCGTAATTCCTTTGAGCACCCAATGGACAGCTCTAGAAATGTTTATGTGCTGTCTGATACGCCTCACATTTTCAAGTGCATCAGAAACAGGCTACTGGACAAGAAGGTTCTTAAAAAGACGGCAAACTGATAAAATGGTCGTGCTACGATGCCCTGTACGTTGCAGACAACGAGAACAAAGCAGAGCTAAAGGTGTGCCCTAAAATAACATTCAACCACATCAACCCTTCCAAAATGCTGAGGATGAGGGTGAAGCTTGCCACGCAGATATTTAGCAACTCCGTAGCCAAAGGTATTCTTTTCTATGCAAAGAGAGGCGCGTCTCGTCTGACCAATGTTGAGCCGACGGTCGAGTTCACACTTTTTTTAAATGACCTGTTTGACGCTTTAAACCGACGTTTTCCAGCAGAAGGCTTAAAACTAGAAGGCAGAGATTTTTGTGTTTTAGAATCTGCATCCGCGTGGCTGGACTCATGGGAGCAACAGGTCGTGAGCGGGGAAATTCATAAGGACCTTTTTCTGACGCAGTCGACTGCAGAAGGCCTACGCGTAACCCTGAAATCAGTGCGGGAGCTGTCAATTTACCTGCTGAAGGACTGTGACTTCAAGTATGTATTGACGGCGAAGATGAACCAAGACCCGCTGGAGCGCTTCTTTGGAATAATCAGGCAAGCTGGTGGGCAAAATGAGCACCCGACGTTTCCCACGTTCCTACAGCTGTACCGTATGCTCAGCTTATATTCTTTGGTAAAACCACCAAAGTTTGGGAATTGCACGCTGCCTGATAAAAGACAAGCAGCCGTTGTGACTTTGTCTGATATCAGGGAAATATATAAAGGTTCTGCCGCGCAACGCACAGGAAAGTTGGATGAACTAAAGCGAAAGCTTGACGGGCTCATCGACGAAGGAAGCTGGGAGTGCGATGATGTCTTCGATTTCGACGACCCTGACACAGACGCAACAGTAGTTGAGTGCATTGTCTACTACGTTACAGGTTTTGTGTCCAGAAAACTTCGCAATGGAACAACCTGTTCCATTTGCAAGAACGCTCTTCAAGGAAAACAAGGTCTCGCAAGCGTGCCCGAAGCTGATCTCGTGAACTGTAAAACCCGGGGCTGGCTCACGCATCCAAATATGCACCTCTTTGACTTTTTCAAGTACACCGAGGAACAGTTTGCCAAGTATGCAGGGGACAGGGATGCATACGACAAAACTACTGATGCCGTGTTGGAGAATTTCCACTTCACATTTCCTTGCGGTACGCACAAAGAAGAAATGCTTGCGAAGTTGCTACACTACTATATCTGCCTACGTATGCGTCAGTACTGTAGGCAATTGAAGAATAGACATGAAAAAAAGAGCCACGACTTGCGAAAAAATGGCAAAGCTTGTGTGAGCACGACCGCTACACGGACTCAATGCGACTTTCTTTGCTTATATGCGTTTCATGAACTTCTTTTATCGGACATATTGTGTGTCCTCTTGTGTGATCGATTTCATGTCTGAAAATTCTAAAAGTCAGTAAATAAATGGTATATGTGTCCTGATGTGAAGTTATGCTACGTATTGTCACGTAGTGATGACGGCAGTCCGACGGTCAGGAAGAGAACCAAAACGCTTCTAAAAGAAAGTGTTCATTAGGCGGACTAGCGCCAACTAAGAACCGTACAACTCGGGGCCGGCGACAGCAACAAACGTGCACGGCGGTCGTCGAAGAACAGAGTGCTTGGTGCTTTAGGCCGTGCTCAATTTAAAAGCCGTAAAAAACTTTCGAGATAAGCGCCCGCAAGTAACGACAAGAATGTGGAACAATGTCGAAGACACTGTTCCAGTTTCTTGTAGTTACTTTTAGGACATCTCGTATCGCGCACAAAAGTGATAAAGTCTTGTGGCGGGTAACTTTCAACGCGAACGATCCATGGCCTATCCCCCGAGGTGCGTTGCACCATAGGTCAGAGGAACACGTACAAAACAAACAGTACAAAGCTTTCGCGGCAATATAAGCGGAATAGCAAGGAGAGATGCCCCTGGCTTTTGAACCAGTGGCGCCAGGTACAGCTGATGAAAAAACAGCACATACGTCACTAAAAAAAAACAAAAAAAAAACGTTAAGTTGTGTAATCATGCGATTGCGACAAAGCGTGGTCGCACCAGAACCTGTTCCATGATGCCATAGCTTAATGTCGATTCCAACGTACTGCTCAGGCCTCGGTTTACGTTATTAAGAAAAATTAATCAGTTATATGCAGTCTCCAGCCAAAGTGAACCGCACATCGCCAATCGTTCCTGGGCAACCCATTGTGAACAATAAGTCAACGACTAGGCCTCATAATACGTAAAAACCGCTCGTAGGTCCTTGACAGCGCTTCGGTTGCCCTCGGCAGAGCGGTCCTACACCGCGAACGGGACGCAAGCGCACGGCATGCGGGAGGCAGAGCCAAAGGGCATTAGAGTGCCTCGATGCGCGCGAGCGCGCGGGCATCAAGGCACCCTAAAGGGCATTAGTTTCGCGCGCCATCTGTTGGCGCTATCTGGAAGCAGAACCTTACCGCGGCGCGCCCAGCGAGCGCGCTCGCTCACCTAAGCTACTTCTTACACCGTGGTGCAGGCATAGGGACGGCGGAAGGGCGAGTCCCTCCACCCGCGCCGTTGGGCCGCGATCGATCGGCGTGAGCGGCAAGAGGAATCCAAATAAAGCAGCGCACGTGGGCCGCCGACGCCCTGCAGGTCCCGCGGCACACGCCCTTGCCGCCACACACGGCCACGACGCCGAAGGCCCCCCCTTCTCCGGAAGGGTCGGCCCGCACGTGCACGCACGCACACGGCAGGTCAATGGCGAAACTGCGCGATGAGCCACGGCTTCGAAGGGACAGTCGAAAACCGAGTCGCCCGTTCCGATGACCGCCTTCTGGAGTTCGTGCTTCAGGCACTCCAGAGAAGTCATCGCCCGTGTGTCGGCTCTTGTCACTATCTAATTCCGACCGGCTAAACGGGGTTGCGGGAGCGAGACAACCCAAAGTGACGGTGATGACTGAGTTGGGGGGGGGGGGGGGGGGGAGTGTCATATAGCGCATCTGAAGTGCTGTATAGCAACTCCTTCGAGTTTTGTTGCGGGAGCGAGACAACCCGAAGTGACGGTGATGACTGAGTTGTGGGGGGAGTGTCATGTATCACATCTGAAGTGCTGTATAGCAACTCCTTCGAGCTTTATCTGAAACACTAGAGGTATCCGCGCGGGCTACGATACTTCGGCAGGCCGATTCTGATTATAATCAGCTTTATTATTTTTTATGACTCTTACGTAACCCAGTTTACGCCTCCTTCTCCTCCTCTTCGACGTGTAGCTTGGCCAATGTGGAAGATCTGTGGTTGATCTCCCGGTATGTTTCTCTTTCGCTCTGCTGTGTTATAAATATTGATTGATATGTGGAGTTTAACGTCCCAATACCACCATATGATTATGAGAGACGCTGTTGTGTTATAAATAAAGTAGCAGGGTACGATAGCCTTAAGCATTAATGCAACAGTGCTTAGTTCAGGGGATGGGGGGGATGAGGTTCTTGGCTAGATGGTGCCGCAGCCAACATAAGCTCCTTGTGTATGTGGGAAGTGAGGGGGGGGGGGTTGCCTGTACCTACTGCCGATCACTTATAGCAAAAGGGCCCGGCCCCTACAATTGTAAGCCCTTTACTGCAGTTTTGAGGATACGCATATTTTTCATTAAGGCATCGCGACTGTCACGCGTTTGCCGGACCTGGGAGCACATGTGATTCAGGTGTTTGATACCTGTGCCATTCACCGGCGCCAGGACGTATTCGTAATAAAGGCTTGTAATCCCACGTGGATTCCCCTGACACACGATAACCCCATTTCCGCCACAGCCGCCACGTCACACGGACACACGACACAGCTAGACGCGTTGAATGTGCGCGCCAGAAGCTCGCCCGAACGGACAAGTGCGCTCTCGCTACAGCGACGTCTTTCGAGTTCGCTGCCGAATGCGCATAGAACACAACAATGAGCCATTCGTCATCAGTGCGGACAGACGGGTCGCTTCTGCCGAGTGCGCGCGTCTGCACAGCCGGTGGCCCCCGATCGCCGCGACATTCATGCAGCGCACCCCGGCGCCAGGCGTGCTGCTGCTGCTGCCGCCTTTGCCTTAAGCTTCGCCTTCCTACGGCGGCCGTGCACGGTATCGCTTGGATGAAGCTGCAGTGCGGACGAATCGTCATGGATAACCGTTCACAATGGAAATGCCAGGCAACGGCCATGTCTGGCATTCCCCGCTCACGTGTTGACCAGTTGTTGACATGATTACTCGGCATCATTTCACACATACACACACACAAATAGTTTCATTGTGTTCAATGTGCCCGCACTTTTAACCTACAGACTATGTCTGGACTTAATAGTGAGGAATAGAGTCCCTTCTAGTCATAGCCAGACAGTACGGGAGCACGGACACGCCTCTCCTGCAATGGATTTGACGACTCTCAACCCTCTATCAGAGACACGCGTTGAGCCAACACTTTCCACACTGCTTTCTTTCCTTTTTCCGTCCTCTGTCCTTGACGTCTTCCTAAATATGCCCTTTATTTTTCCTTTCTTAACTGCCGACCTCAGCGCTAAAGGTCGAAGATATTAATTAGCGCTCGGACCAAATGGCTCGGGCGAAAGAGCAGCCGGCTGTGTGAGAAGTTAACCCGCAGCCTGCAAGAACAAGACTCGGGCGAATGCTCGCGACTTAGCCTGAGTTAGTGCTGGGATTACTTTAAACGGAAGCTTCCAAGAACTTAGGTTTCACGGCCCTTCTCGCTTAAATGTTCGTGTAAGGCCAGACATGTCATTGACACCACGCATGCCAGGTCGTGACGTGCATTTTAGGAAGTTAATGCCACGCGCACTCGTAATTCATGTTATCCGTTGTCTTGTGATTCAAATCACGCATGCTATATTTATGCTATCTCGTTCGTGTTTTAACATTATTATATCTCCAGCTTGCATCAACGTAGACTCTGCGCGACGGAGACGTGGCTATATCGAGACGCACAATATCAGATCAATAACATGGCGGACCTTTGTTCGACCCAAGCTGTATAAGTATGCTGCACAAGACATACAAAGTTGCTC